ATTCACCCGCCTCGGCCTCCCAAAGTGCTGAGATTACAGGAGTGAGCCACTGTGCCCTGCCGCATGACTCTTTGATGTTGCTGTTACACCAGGTGACTGCCTCAAGTCACCGTGAGGTGCCAAGAATGCAGAAAAGGGATGGAAGTGTAGCGAAGGATGTAAAGAAACAGATCACTGGAACTGTAATTTGTCCCACACGCTGACCCAAATCAAATTTCAATGATTGTTCTGACATCCCAGGCACTACACAAAGAGACAGGCTTGTAGACCAGAATGCTCTCTGAGATTGTGATGTTTGCTGCCTCCCCTATGGAATGACATGAGAAAGGGTATGAAGCTCAATCTCAGTCCACCCTTAGGAATTAGTGAAGAAATCTTGTTTAAGAATCAATGAAAAAAAAGAAAAGAATCAATGAAAATGGGTTTGTGTGCTTTTTACAAATATAGAAGAGACCTCTAGTGGAAGAAAAATAGAATTTATATATTCTTTTTTGTTTTTAATTTCTTATTTATTTATTTATTTATTTTTTAAGATGGGGATTCACCATGTTGGTCAGGCTGGTCTTGAACTCCTGACTTCAGGTGATCAGAATTTATATATTCTAAATCCTAGGTCAAACTGAAAGAAAATAAGCAAATTTTATAACAAAAGCTAATAGTTGATAGTTTTTGAAAACCTTTAATATGCTACATGAGACCGCTTTTGTAATTTTCTTAACAATTCTATGAGACAGGTAATAATATTATCCACATTTTAAGGATGCAGAGAAAAGTAATTTGTCAAAAGCCACACAGGAGGAAATGTAGCGCTGGGAATCAGACCCACAAGTCTTCCTAGACTCTCTGTATATAACCAAAATTATCTACAGAGCCTGTGTGGCAAATAACATGTATAATATCTGCATAGCAAAAGATACAAAATTAAACAATATAAAGAAAACATAGAAAACTTAAAGTATAAAACAAGTGAACAGCATAAAACCAACTACATCATTTATGCTTATAAATGTAGATTGCTTGAATTCCTCTATCAAAAAGCACAAAGATAAATAAAGTTTAAAAAATTGAATTACATATCACATGAGAAATATCTAAAACAAAATGATGCAGAAAGATAAACAAGTGTGAATAAACAAGGATACAAAGGATAGACAAGTGTGTTTCAAAGACATTTAAATGTGATGGAAGCAAGTCTAAAAAAATGGAAAGCAGAAAAAGTAAAATTTAACTTAGAAGGCATTAACCAGAACAAAAGGTAGTTTGTACAGTTAAAAGGAACACTTCTTAATTAAGGTGTAAGTCATGCTAGTTGTATACATCTCTTCTTAACACTCTCTTATTTAAAATACAGAAATACTGTTTCTTAGTGATAGTCAATTCATTTGCCCACTTTTTAAATTTTTTATTATTTTTCATAGTTCTCTTTTAATTCCCCTTGATTCTTTAAAGACACATGTCTAGACATTAACTGCAGTTTAACATGCTTGTGACTCATCTACCCAAAACTTTCTCCTCAATGGATGGATTTATACTGTTACTGAGGCACAATTACCTAATTCCAGGATCATATATTTGAAGCACTAGAGTCCAAAATTGATCAACCTGATAAATCACAAATGTAGACATTGCACTTTGTATCTATTCAATCATGTGGTTCAGTTATTTCCAATTTGTTCCTGAAAAACCCAAAGCCTTCTGGAATATGGACTATCTTACTACCATTCATTCAATGCCCAGGTGTCTGTGCATTCTGCTTTGTCCAGGTTAAATTCCATGATTCATTATTTCAGCCACTCTCTTACCAACATTTTGCTTGCCCTTGCTCCACTGACCTTCCATCACATACGTGTGATAAAACTTATCCCCTGCATGAATCAACCAAATAAGTACCCTAGGCCAAAGAAAACAAGGAAACAAACTTGTTAACTAAACGTATTTGTGTTTCCATAATTTTATGATAATCAATGTTAAACTTAACTGATGACACTATCCAATGACCCAACAGCATAATCTTCTTGTTCAATCTTTATGACTCATTTTTTTCCTACACTCCTCAAAGCACATTCACATCTCACTCCAACTCCCTTTCTCAACAGATAACCTTTCATTTGACTTCACAGAGAAATTAGGTATGATTAGATATGTAATCATATGACTAAAACATCACATTAACATACTTTTACATGAATCAATACCCTCTACCTTTCCTATTTCCTGAAAG